ATGAAGCGTGAAGACGGTAGCTGCTTATGCATTTTTCAGATGCACTTAAAATTTTTGTTACTTATAACTAGGTTTCTATTGTAAGGTATTTATAGTGGTGTTACTTATATTTTATTTCAGTTATAAATTTTTACGAATTTCTCTTCATCGTGTAAAATAATTTGTACTATATAAATAATATTTATTTCATGGCATCTACTTGTATCTAAGCGATAAGCACAATTTTATCGATATGACATATGACAACATTTTTAAAGCGGCCATGCCTATTTATAGAAACCCGTATTATTTTTAAAATGTTGATATATCCGAAAAAAAGACGTCAAGTTCAATTAAAAATAGTTGAAAAGAATTTTAACATTCATTCACTCTTATCCTTTTTAATTGAAACCAAAAATAATAAATTATTCAAATTGAAACCTATATTACTTATAAACCAGCTAAAAATACATTTTAAAGATTTTAATGATAGGCACAAAATATCACGAAACATTTTCTTGAGTCCGTTTTCCGTGATTTTGTTTGAAACAAGTTTGTTAGATAAAGCACGCGCGGATTATCCGAGTAGTAGATATGACGAATACCTTCACTTATCGACATACGTGCATTATCGCTCTAAGTCGAGGATTAGGAACTGATTTATTTGTTTTATCGCGCTCTGTCGGAATTCTCAAAGAGATCGCGACGCGATTGCAACGTACTTGTTTTGAAGTGACAACGTCATTGGATTTATTTTTATCGTATTATATTTTAGTGTCCACACTACGATTGCCATTTATGATGGCTGAATTAAGGGCCTTTTACACGACGCAAATCTCAGACTGTTTCATCAGTGATATACGTTACGTGAGTCACCCTGTAAATGCTTCTCTTGTTTCAATTGCTAATCTGTACCACACATACAAAACCCACAAGAATTCCATCAGTAACAGTTCAATTATTGCGTATTTGTCTTTAATTTAAAGTCTAAATCTTCACCATCTACTTAACTGTAACTGGTCCAAATTGAAGGCCTGCCGATGCGTAACGGTGAATGATAGTGAACCAAATCACACGTTTGAACGTGAAGCAATAACAAAAGCTCTGTGAGGGATCCGACTGATTGCTCACACGTTAGCGAAAGCCGAACAAATTAACTTAGCACTTCGATGCGTAGAAACCATTTGTTTCCAATTTGTGGGCCGTTCGACAATATGCCCTATGTGTTTATCCCGTCCAAAAACAGTGCAAATGACACTAATTATGCCATTGTAGCGGGGCCGTGTTAATGGATTGCTCATACCGCTCTGAATTCTACTAAACCGTGTCTGTTTGGTCCAAATGTTCGGATATGTTACTCAACTTGCATTTGGAATTTAGACTTACATTGGTTACAGGGCAATTTGGGTTTGTGTGATTTATAATAGAAGTGCATTGGAATAAGTAAGGTGAAAATCTATATCACAATGCTTATCGAATAGTTTTCTTGGAGATCTCAGATCATAAAAGATTTTCAGATTGCTGAAAATGTGTATATTGCTTGTTATACTCTTATTTTTATATTATTGTTAAATCAATTGCATTTTATTCTTAGAACAAGGATCAAAGGTCTAAAAGAGAATTTCAACCATAATGTTTTCACTATAGAATTTGAATATGTATTAAACACTTTACGTGAGTATAAGAAGGAGAGTGCTCTGAGGAACTGTTTGGTCTGATACTTCTTTCTACGTTGCACAGCAAAACTGTGGAATGATCTGTCGTGAGCGGTATTTCCAAACCGATACGACTATTAAACTTTCAAGTAAAGAGCGTATTCCTTTTTAAAAGGCCGGTAATACACCTGTGACTCATCTGGTGTTACGAGTGTTCATGGGCGGCGCTGGTCGCTTACCATCAGGTGATTCGATGCTCGTTTGTCTCCTATTCCATAAAAAGGTCGGGTAGCTGGATAGGAACAATTTAAAACCATTTTCTTTGCATATCCTACACGCTCAATTGCATTTAATCGTTTAACTTGTCATATGACGCAAAAAGCGTCGAGAACTTTACATCGACCTATTTCTTAGCAAATAGATACGTCATTAATTTTATTAGAAATACGAATATGAACCCTGTGCTGTAGGTAATAGTGGCGTATGCAAATATTGCTACTACTTGGAGTTTGGACTGACATTATGGGTGCACTCACCAATTTAAGAAGACTAGTTGTAGTCTACGGTTTTGCTTGACGTTGCTTTTTCGGTTTTACTTTTATGGTATTATAATATCGGTCGAGAGTCTTGAATACGATTCTCGAGTAAGGTAAATTATTTCATTGGTTAGTTACTATTACATTACAAGATTCGAAAAATATGGTATACCTTCAGTAGTATTGCATAATTATGACGTTATTATGTACGATATCAATTTAATTTTGCAATAATTAATGAAAATATTACACCATATGGGAATCGTATCCGTATGCGCGTAAGCCACTGCGTCGGCTATGCCGTCAAAAGATAAATATTATTATCATTTAAATCCTACAGCAAAATATTATCGCCTTCGTATAACAGATTACTTAAAACGATGTTTCATGTTGCAGTTCATATCTTGACTGGATCAATTCACTTCTTAGTATTGATTGATTAAATGTAATAAATATTATCATGTCTTATACTTCTCAAGGATAGACTGTGGAGTATAGGCCATCTACAACCTGATAGTTACTTTGAGGTACTGCTTATGGTAAATATCACACATGCACGAAGTGTTTCTCTTCAAATTTCATTATAACAGTGGAATTCTTTATCAGAGTCTGTGTTTCCTTACTTGAATATTTTTAAGGCCCTAATAAATAAGTTGCTCATGGGTAGCTGTGTCTCATTGTAGGCCGTATAGGCACTGTACCTATATATTCCATGTTTATGTCTGAAGATTGACAGAATCCTTTTTTGGATTTATGATTCCTCATTCACCTAGGGGTTTATTTGGTTTATCCATTTCTTCGAACTCATAAGTACTGATCTACTTTTCTGAGTCCGATCACCTCAATGAGCTGATTATGATAATGATGGTCCGAAATTAAAACTAAAACCTTCATAGGTTTTTCCAACTGCAAATAAACTTAGCTATATAAACTTGGCTTGTAATCTTTGGACACTGAATCACATAGACATTTTTAGCAATATTATGTATGTGTGTCTAATCGCAAATGTAGGTATTACCTAAATCAGCTGATCAGTAGTAGTCATACTATGTTTATCATGAATCCTTCAGCTGACTGGATACTTGATAACCTAATCATGCTGACTTTTTTTGTGATATGACATTAGAAAAAGATTTTAACTTGATGACCGTAGATTTGATCCCGATCGGATAGAGTATAGCTCTTGTCATTGCACAAAATATTGCTTTAACTACCAATAATAAATTATTAAATTGTATTTGACAAATGCAAAATGAATACTTAATACTTATTCTTCTATGACATACTTACTTATGCTCCAATGACGCAAGGCATCGCTTTATAATCTCGACAATGCAAATGAAGATTATGACAAAAGTAAATAACATAATAAATCTGATTTTATGACAAACTAGAGATAATGCTGTTAATGAGATAGATAGTAAAAATATATACCCTTCATTGTTTGTAGTCGGTGACTAATTCAGATTATAGAAATGAGGTTGTTGCTAGAAGAAGTGATTATAATTCAAGCGAATCGCTATCTATTTGCTTATGTTTCTTTATGTAATAGAGGTCATTATTGCATCATCGGGAATTTTTAACAATTTTGCAATATAGAGACAAAAAAATCAATTTTATGAAAGAAAATCGTAGTTATAAGATTATGTTAAACTGACTTAACAACGAATATGTATTAAAACAAATATTAAAACATAATCTTCAGGGTGCTATCTACCACCGTATCAAAATTCATTAGAATCGGTTTATCCGTTTAGGTGTAAAAAGCATGTCAAACACAACTCACAATCTCGATTTTGTGAAGTAAACTAATAAGTCAAGGTTTAGTACTTATGTATGTACCATAATATGTATTGGTACAGGAATTGATAAAGTAGAAATATTGAATTGAAACATACATTTATTTACATATATTAAAGAAGGCCCAAATTAAAAGTACCGATGAGCATGCATGAAAAGATTAATGATTGTTGATGGAGCGAAAGAGGTATATAAGAAATCGTAGTAATTGGCGTTCCATAGTCTCCGCCTACCCCTATGGGAGAGAGGCGTGTAGTTATGTATGTATGCATGTGCATTTATTTGCTTAATAATAACATTGGGTATTTTAGCTATCTCATTGACAATAACATTACAATAACATAACAGTACTATAGGAAATACCTCACAAAATAAATAGTGCGTTATATATTTTGACACATACCTAAATATGAGAACAAGAAAATTATTGAAACAACGATAATAACAATATAAACTTCCGTTGTCAAATATTTAAATTATAATGTGGGAATCAGGAAATAATTAATTAGGGCTTGATTATAATTAGACGTATTCTGGCTGATATGTTGATGATTGGAATTAGGTACCTATGTATCGTTTATTGTACCTATCAATGTTCTCATATCAATGCCTTCGATTTGATGCAGGAACTAATTAAAAGTAAACTTTGATAGACAGTTGAGAAATTAGAACTAAAATCAAAGTCTATAAAGACAAGAAGTGCCTAAGTACGATTTTTACTCTCTTAGCATACACATTTCATATAATTTTACTGAATATCAATTAGTTAATATTAGGTTGTCGTAGAAAAAAGGCGCAATGTTAGTCTAGTATGAGAATTGTGATCAAATGTCCGTTACCGGGCAACTCCTAGAAAATTCCAATTGTCTAAGCTGTTTAAATGCTGAGCAAAAGTCTAACTTAATCTATTCCAACCATAGCGTTATGCTAACATGAGCAAATTATGCTAGCCATTTGGTACTTTCTGACTCTTTGATTTGGCGACATTATAAATTTTAAATTCAACTAAGAAGTTCTTTTTTCGTTATAGATGGCTGCAAACATCCAGCAGGCATACCTAAAGGTAACTAAACCTATTACATATTACCTGAAGGTAATTTTTTAATACCAGAATTCAGCCTTGCTAACATAGAAACAAGCCAAAATAGTCACTTCAGCATTTTCAATAAAATACAAAATTAAAAAGCTTTGCTTTCGCAAGAACATTCACGTAATAATTTGTTGAATATGGTGACGGTAATTTTTGATGAGGATTATCATAAGATAGATCTTGTATCACTTCTTTCATTGTAGGTAAGAAAAAATAAAATATTTTAATTTTCAATGCAATCCTTCCTATTTTTCGCTTAAGTACTCTATTCTGACGTACCTATCCCAATTGATACTCTCGTCGATTCTTAAAAATCCTTGAACATAAAAATATGAATGTATAATATTATCATCGCATAATGACGTAAGTACCTATGTATTGAACATTATCAACAATGAATCGCTAAATTTTTAGCATCCCATATACGGTAAAGTTATCGAAAATGAAGAAAATTCCCACCAGCTCGGCTCCAAATTATGAATATCTCGTGCGTATGACGTCATACTTGTGAAAATTAACGCATCCAATGTATCGGTTTTTTACTGTTCTTTGATAACTTTTGATTTAATTAGATATTGTGACGTTGGGGATTTAACTTAGGTACATTGAGATATGGACCGAACAACAAGTTGATTTGTCTTCGGGAATAGAGAAATTATTTAATATCTTCTTATGATTGACATAATAGAAAAGTATAATATTCATTTATATTATCAAACGCAACTAGGGTTTGAGCCACACTGAAATGTAATCTAATGCGATTTCAGTTCCGACCACAACGGTCGACAAGTTCAAAAATATGCTAAATCACCTTTACCTAACGCATTCTGAGACACGTGTATCTAAATAAATCATATTATTCAGACCGCTACATACTATCACTGGATAAGCGTTATCAGTCAAACAAATCTGTGAATCTAAACTTATACTGATATCCTCGAAATCCCGTCGATAAGAAACGATTAACTATCGCCGATTATATTCTTTCTTCGTATTGGCTTGAAGGTTACCCCTCATATTTAGGTATCTGTATGCAAAACTGATTTTGGATCACGTGGTACGACATTGTTGTGTGTTGACAGGCAGCGAACAATTTTAGACTATAGCTATGAATAGCATACATTTGACAGTTTTACGTTTCACAACTTTCAGTAATACAAAAATTCGTCATCATTACTGACAAAATTACTCTCAATTTTACACCAAAATATAACAGTAAATCTATCAGCTGTCTTACAAGTACAAGTAGAACAATGACTCGTACAATCACAAAACAGTAACACGTGAATGACGTACGCAATGATTCCTAACAATTCCACAGCAGAGTGACGTAACTTCGATGATAATAATTCGTTCTGTAGCCATAGGCACCATAAGCGAGTATCCCGACAAATCGACCATGCTTTACAACTTTAAATATTTACCTAAATTCGCGCACGAAAAGCAACAATAATCAGTGAAGCAGCTGAAAGATTTAAGTAAATCAAACTAGAACAATGACTCGTACAAAAAACAGAAGTCGATTTAAAACAGTATCACGTGAATGACGTACGAAATGATTCCTAACAATCCCATAGCAAAGTGACGTAACTTCTGTAGCCATGGGCGCCATGAGCGAGTATCCCAACAAATCCTTAAATCGACACGGTTAAACAAACGCTGGATATGTGAACATTCCCGCTATTCCTGTGGATTAGAGCCGCTTAAGCCCGACGTCGCACCCGTGCGGTAGTCAGTGTAAACATACCCTTAGGGCACCGCTCTATGAGATGTTTCGTAGACTGTGTTTTGTTTTTTGAAGGTGAAAAGTTTAGTTTGATTTGGATTTAGAATTAAATAAACACGGTTATATTTGTTGCTCTATTGGTTTAACGTTTTTATTGGAAAAGAAATGGACCATGTTTGACCTTTAGGTTCAAATTTAATTGAATTATTCACAATTTGATATCCCAATACGTCGATTCTAAAATAACCTTAAATAGGTTTAACTATCTAGTTGATAAGCTTAGTTAAAAATTGATTTCTTATTTATTTAGTTATTTAATGGTTCATGTGGATACCTATACCCAAACGTCACAGAGAGAACACATATATATTATATCAAATTCTAGTACATTTCTCTATTACATAATACGCATATTGTGGCAGATAAGCTTTATACCAGACTTTTTAATATTTCTACTCATATGTAATTATTAACATAAAACAGATTAACAACTTAAACTCACGCTGACTGACATAAATACACCAATTTAAAATTAAAAAAAAATACAAACATGTGGTACACAAAAAATTGCGTAACATTGCGTGAACAACAGAACTATATTTTAAATCGACTAAATTTCGCGGTCCCGCTAATCATGCAGTATCTGATCCTCCATGGAAGGTCACAGGTCGGATCATGTCCGTGGCTTGTGGCTCTGACGAAATTGGCTCAAAACCCGAGATAAGTTCAGCGTAAACTATAAAAATCTGCGACGTATAATAACACAAATCCCGATTAGGTTGATACTCATTGCTGTGGTGGTTGGCTAGAGCGAGCGTTTATTTTTTTTATTTTATTGGGTTTTTAAATGTCCTTCTAAAAAGGTAGATTTTTTTCTGTTTCCCAGAATAAGTGTTTGTGTAAGTTTTTCAAGTTCTATAACGAAGCAATTTACTACTCATTTTTTTTGCCCAGTTTTGTAAGTTAAAAAATGAGTATGGTGATTTTATTTTTTTTCAGTCAAGTCGTGTTACATAAAAAGTAAGGTTAAGTTACTTAAAAAAAAGCCAGATTGAACGTTTTATTTTTAGTAAGCACCTTATTTACCTATATTTTGAATACATTTCACAAAGTTATTTTTGGAAAGCGTTGTCGACCTCCATATAACCTCAATTTTACCGTTTTATTTATGTGAAGGATGATATTAGAAGGACGTTTTCAAAAAACTACATAATATGAATATGTTATGGTAGTAGTTAGTATGAATAATATGTTTATATTCTTAAATAGGTAGAAGATACCCATTTATTAGATAGCCAGCCATAGCATTTGCTTTTACCTTCATGAAACAGTAGGTTTATGTAGTAATATATTTATTTTTAATGTAATAATGTAATTACATATTACTGTTTATTTTATGGCAATTCTTTAAATGAAAACAAGATTAGAATAACTATTTCCATCTATACACGTGATAGCTAAGTAGTATAGGAAAATATTGTCTGTTCTAAGCAACCGTATGTAGCGGTCGTAATTCAACAGTCAAAGTTGTTATCTAAACTAATTGTACGACTCAATTATCTATTTTTATATGCGATTCATACCTATTTTATTATTTTGTCAGCATTAGGAGTTACAGTGGAAAATTTTAATATATATGTTCATAACATTACGTATTGTATACTTACCTATTTATTTTGCGCATATCTTAACGATTAGACTTATGTACATTTATTTAAAGCAAAAAGTCGAAACATTATTTCAGTCTTAGACCATCGGAATCATTAGAATTATGACGAAATACATAAATGTGTACACATAAGTGCCTTTAAGAATTTCAAAGGCGATTTCGAGTGACCTAGCGTCGTATGAAGGTTAAGTAAAAAGAAAAAATACAAATAAAATATGATTCTGAGTAAAACTATTTAGGGAAAACCACGTAGATGTTTTCAACGCTCGTTGACATCTCAAGAATTAAAAGATAAGCTCACATGATATACAAATATAAGTCGTTACTAAAACGCTATCTCGTACAAATAAATGGAGCATAAATTAATCAGGACTGTGCGATATAGACAACACAGGTAATGCCATGGTAAATGTTACTATCACACCGTCGTATCCCTGTATGTTTGTATGTCACTCGCTTGCCTCCGTATTCGTCAGATTAGAGTTTATCGTTTGCATCACATTATGAGATAAATAAACTAATTTTGGCGCGTCACTTTGAATAGGTTTTTCATTTCATTATTTGTTTTTGACGACGTGGCTAAATAAATAATTTAGTTTAATTAATTTGTTTAGCTTCAAATTAAATCTTTTTATCTTAACCTCATTAACTTCTTGGTTTCCAAAAAATATTTGTTTTACTTTAATTTGCTAATGCGTGTCTTATCCCTCGTCGTAAGTTATCATGATGGCTCTGCAAAGAAAACTTTAAAGAGTACGTCATTTTGAAGTGTGTCTAATGGGTATCTATTCTAATAAAGTACGTGGGCCTTACAGCATATCTTCAGATAAACCATTCTATTCTTGTTCTCTAAGAAATCTTTTCTTATATTGAATGGCAATTGAACAAGAATTTTATTCTCTGTCCAGTTTACAATTATATTTACCTTCAGTGTAAATTGCAGAACAATTTTCTATGAACTTAGCTAATATAATCAAGGGATTCACCAAACAAGACAAAATGAGCTGCAAAATTATTGTGAAGTCGTTACTTATATTAATTTGGCAAAGACAAACTTAGTATGAATTAAACAATAAGATTACGCATCGCTGCAGGGAAAATTAAAAGCACCGATGTATTTGTGCAGGATGTGACGTCATATATGTTGGTTTGTGACGTCGAACGTGCCACAGCTTTGGTTTTGGTACGGAACAAATATTTGTAGCGATACATAACTGGTGTACGTCAGATAAAATGTACTCGGCAGATGAAATATCTTTCTATAGGGGCTTGATTAGCTTGACCAACAGTTATAAGAAAATAGTTTAAAAACGAGGTGACTAAGCTTGATCCTAGAACTCATTTAGGAAATACACAAAATAAACCTGCCATCTTTTTTCAAAAGTCTTGCAACCCTTCTAGTGTTGTATTGTGGTTGTACTTGGGTGATGCTGATCGTTTAACATCAAGTGATCCATCAGCTCATTCACTTCTTATACCATCGCAAAGAAGAGGATGGCAAGAAGAGGTGGCTACCATCCGTGCGTCACTGCATGGGTGCATGGGTGCCCACTGAAAATCAGTGCTGGGTAACCTGTATGCCTGGCTTACACTGAGTGGGTGACCCTTTTAGCATAGGCATGTTGTCAGCGTCTCTTTTCTAATTCTTCTGTTTCAATTTTTCAACTCTTATATTTTTATTACTTCCACTGTCACATCTCTTGATTGTCTTTTTTTATTTTTTATTTATGCTGCATCGTGCCTGGTGCTAAATAAATGTTTTTTCTTTCTTTCTTTCTTTCTTTCAAGGCGATACGTGTAAGGGTTGCTGGTTACAACCGGCAATACTATCCTATTAATATTATAAATAGTTCATATTCTCCGCTCACCCCTAGGGGAGACAGGCGTGTATGTTTGTAACTTCTTCACATTAAAGCAGCTGAAGGCATCGGGATGTTATGTTGGTGGATTAATAAGTTGTAGACGGATTTATAATACTTGGATTTATTACAATAATGTGCAGGGCGCACGACGTGTACACACACTTAGACTATGACAGGTTGACAGCGGCGTTAATCAATAGTGTTCTACCTTATATAACACATTATAGTGAGGGGGCCACTACTTACTAATTAGTGATGTTCATATCATACATGTAACAGGAATAGGTGTAGATTATGGTCTGGATTATCACATAGGCCACTTTTTATCTCTCAAGATTGTAGGAGAAGCCGCTGATAGAAGATTTTTTTTTAAGTTGGGAAAATCATCGAATGACTGCTCCCGCCTGGGTGAGGCGGGAGGGAGTGTCAGACTCTTACTGACTAAAAACCACCCCGTTCCTTCTCCTGCTCGTCGAGCAGGAGCCCCGGTAACCTGTTAGGTTTACCGCGACTCCGAATCGGCATCAGCCCTGGCTGATAGAAGATAGTTAGATAATAAAGCTACTGTCACATGTTAGGCAAATATGGATACTTGTTAGTTTCGTAGTCTTGTTTCAAGTCCAAAACTGACTATTCCTCCTTGTATTTGGACCTATGACATAGAATAAAAGTAATAATGTAATTCAAAACTTCAAAACCATCGTCCTGTCTGTCTAACCCTAATAACTCTTCATATCTTGCTAAACTCATAGATTTGGCGTGACAAGATAACAAACATATATACGTACATAGTAGATACTGTCGGATATCTATGAAAATAGTAGCTGACAAGAGTTGAGCCCTGTTTGTGCAACAATTGTTACGATATGATTTACATATTTGCTGATCTTGTAATCTATGTACTGTCGTACTATGTACTTGTGAGATGTAATGTGTATGCCATGTAATGTTTACTGAATATGCCTTGTTGGTCGAGTGGTTGTAAGTCCGACTGTCGTGCAAGGGAAAATGTTATTGAGGCTTTTTCGAAATTTTCTTATTGACAATATGGCGTCTGAAATTGTTTTCGGTGGTAAGGCAAAATGCTCACTGCCTATTACATGGTATACCAGTTGCATAACAGGCGGAAAGTAGATGTTTCATTGTATAATTGGAATTTTATCTACCCTTTCAATGATTAAAAGACGCGATGATTTGAAAAACAAAATGACTATAAACTAATATGTATAAAAACAAGTCCATAAACTAAAATTAATCATATTGTTTAACAAACAATGTTAACGCATTATTTACCGATATGAGTACTAAATTCGGAGATAAGCATAACGAATCACTGTGGGAATGCAAACTGGATAATCAGTAATGTGTATAATCACTAAAATCAATAAGAAATTAGTATAAATATAGTCAAGTGACTGTCGTTAAGTCACTCGGTCAAAATGCCGCTTCATTAGTCGTCTTGGTGTCTAGTCTGTCAAGCTTCGTACCAGTGTTCGTACCATGTTTTGGTACTGGATTTAATTTTATAGGTTAAAGGTATTATTCAGTCTCTTTACTTTTTAAAACTTGTAGATAGGTATGCCTCGATGTTACGCAGGCTTGATAAAATTGATCATACCACAACCCAGGTGTCTACTTAGTCAAATTATCAATTGCTTAAAAGCAACAGAGAAATTAATCAATTGTTAAAGTGCTTAAAGAGTAATTTACGATAATAAAAAGAAAACTTCCAATTCCAATGTCAAGACCACTATTTTCCCCAACAATTGCATAAATGCATCTCGCAAAATCGACAACAAAACCGCCCAATAAAGCTCAACAAGTCTCCGACACACACAAATCGTTCCAAATAAATTGTAAAGTTCGGCGAACATATCCATTGTAATTGTGGTACGTGCTAGCCGTGATTGCAGCAAGAGTTAACACATAATACATTACAGTTTATGTCACAACACAATCAGGCTCCGCCGAGGACGAATCAGGCGGCGACGCGCGTAATCTGGGTTAACAGGGGTCAAACGACATCACAAATTCCAATACGATATTAGACGTATCTGTGGCGCGAATCAACGATTCTATGGACGGACAAACTGTGCGTGCTATTGGCCAACACGCCCCTGCGCTTGATCGTTTCATGCGGCACATTTTGCACATGCACTTTGATTGTGCACGTCAAATTGCTCAGAATTGGTAAGGGTTAATTTATTGTTGAGAGCCAAGTGTGCCTCTGCAACTAGATCATTTCGTTCTTCATCTCTCCTCCGCTCTTTATTCATTGTTTCATGACTTCAATCAGAAATTATAAGATCATTTGATATGGTGTTTCGGGTGGTGTTATGATTCCTTAATTTCAATTAAAAGCTCCGTCCTCATTTAATTTTTGTGTGGCGCTGTTTTTTGTGTCAACTTTAACATAATAACATGATGAGATATGTCATGTTTGCACATCATTAACCTTATTAAAACACTATCATTCGTCGTGAGTTTGCCGTTATGTGGTCAAACCCGCGTTCAGTAACCATATTCAATGAATGTAATCAGTGCGGCTCATGAACGGTTTGTATCGACTGACGCAATGCCCAAGTGTCCAATTTGTATCTCGATTCGCCTTAAGTGGTTCGACTTTTCTTAGATTAGAATACATAAAGATGTATGCTTTATTTTTCCTGTGAGATCACTTGCAGTTTTGTGGGTACTTTTGTGATGTAATTGTAAACGGGGTCATTAAAATGAAATTAGTAAAATGTTTTGTCTGACTTAACTAACAAAAACAAAACGATAACGATGAACGATATGAAATCGCTGGGATTAAAGTGGAGATAAAGAGTTTGTAGCAAAGCTTTATCTCTGCTTGAAAATTGTTTCTGACATCTAACAGAAAAATCTTAATATCAATCTTGGAATCAAGGACCAAACAATATTCATAGAGTAGCCAACGGGAATTTCCAGATAAGATGTGTATCTAATACGTGCAGTCCATGTTGTCACGCTGATGACGTATCATTCATTGACGTCCAGCAATTGGCTGTAAATGATAAAATTGTCACCTCCAGTCGTGACTCTTTTGTCTTATTAGTACGAAGGTAAAAATAGCTGCGGCATCTATTTTCAGTATATCAACCAGTGTCGTAGTGATGTTAATCAAATGACTACCACCGAATATGTAATCCGTTCCTAACACGAGTTTTCAACGTGTAAAATGGTTATTTCTGTTGTTTTTACCGTTTTAGTTTCGTCTTGTGGACTCAACAATATCGTCATTTGTTTGCGTAGCTTGATATAATTTTAAATACAAACAAGAATTAATTCGTCGTATTTATGACACGTCTTTAGCTACCGTTGACTCCAAAATTAAATAAATTTTCCAGTTATACCGGTATAGTCTTCTTTAAAATCTGTTCATGAATTTGATACGGTACATATTACATGAAAAAAGTACGGTTACATAATGCAGAATATAATGTAAGGCAACGGTTCTCTTCGTTTGTCTCTACGTTTCAAATGTCCCTCACGTCTGGCTTTGACGTACACTGTGCGCATACGCAACCATATTGCACCAATGCATGCAAGTGTACCAGCGCAAATTGTAGAATTATTCATTATTATTCGACCTTAATGGAAGCTATGGGGTCTCGTCTAGACACGACACCATAAAAGCATGGATAAGCTCGTGTTTATGTATTGAAATTATCCACTCCGTTATATTAATTTGGCATACGCAAATTAAATATTAATGTTTGTAGATTACGGGCCGAGGCAATTAGCCACGAATGGCAGTTTTATGTATCCGTTTTCATACTTTGTTTCAATATGATTTTTGCGACGCATTATTGCTGTTTTAACTTCGGAATAATTGGTAATTGAGCCATTTGGTAATGGGGATCGAATAATGACACATCCCTTTTAAAAAAACAAAAAAGGAATAGCGAAATATTTAGCGGCTTAATTAAAAGTACGTATTAACATTATCTACCTCTTTATGGATTATACACACGTGTGATATGCTAATCAGGTCTTAAATACTAGTAAAAAAATAAAAGTAAATTTAATAGCTATGTAATTTAAACTTAATACCTATCATGCTTAAGGTTTAAATTACATTTTAAGTGACACATCCGTGTTTTTACATTGGATAATCACAGGATTATAGACGAGACCTCGAGATTAATAATAGATTAAAAACATTTATTTGTTATCTTGGCTCAATCTCTCACTAAGAAGTTGTTATCTAAGATATAATAGATATAGTATCGAAAAATATTTATGATTACTGTAGATTAATTAATGATTAGCATAGAACACGTTTTGATTTTTAATTTAATTAGTGTTACAGAATTTTATTGAATTTGGAATTTGTTGATTCGTTTTTAGATAGGATTTCTTTAATATTGGTTTAATGGAGTCTTATTTTTTTGATAATAATGATAAATATCAGACTTTAATTTCTCGGAGACGGATATTAAAGTGCACATGTTTTATGCAATGAACACCACGTTTCCGAGCCGTGCTTCATTACGTACTACAAGAAAGAATTTTCCAACTAAAACAAGCAGTACTTAGTCAACTCTGCCCTCTGAAATCTTTACTCAACCAACAATGTTTGATTAACCCACGTTTTTCTTTTACAGAATCTGTCGGCGGAACTCCGGCGCAGCAAGACGCCTCCGCGACGTTCGCCGGAGGAGCGCGCTGTCCCTCGTCCCCCCTCAGCTCCAGTCCATCATGAGCGCATTCAACACACCCCCCATCCTCCCCATACCCCCCACCTATCGCCCAAGAAGGAAGCTTTCAACAATCTCATGAACAAAGGCACGCCAAGTGAGTACACACTTTTATGTTCACATAAATATTACGCGACTATGAATAAAAGTTATTTGTTTATTTAAAACTACCGTTGCGCCACCTATTGAAATTTAAATAAGACAGAAGCTGTAAAATAATGTTGAATAGCATAATATTTGAACGGACTACTGACTATCTCCCTAGTAAATTAAATCTGATGAAGTCAAATCGTATTGATTCGCTCAAGGTCGATTATACCGATACAACGAAAGCTTAAACATCGATTAACGCTGACGCCAGTCAAAAACAAAGGCCAAGAGATTTTATCGAATATTTTTTCTCAGACGAAACGTCCCTCAAACGTCTTGAAAAACAAGTAAGAGTGCATTATTCGTAGTCACGCGCTGTTCTTCGGTCTCTTTGTATAACTACGGTTCATCTCAGTCCTAGTTAATCTGATGCCATTATTGATTCTCCGATATCTTTCGGTCGTTAAATCAAACGTTCGCAGTATATGCGCCAGTGATTTCAATATTTATATGCCTCTATAAAATACGTCAATGTTTATTGAATAGTTTCTAAGGAGTTACCACTCTGGTGTTAGTTATTCTGTGGCCTTTATGTTTCAGTATGATTGTTGGTTGCGTGATGAAAGTCCGTCTATTTTTTTGTCGAGCAAAATTCGATTACTTGTTACATATTCGTTATTGAATAAAAATGTATTGTGATTGCAGAAAGTGTTTCGAAATGAATATTTAATTATGTGACTGATATGGATTGTGTCTGATTGTTGGATTTCCGTAGATTAGATACTATTTTCAGAATTGAAAGCAAGGAAGTAGGAAAAGTGGGTTTATTCGAATATCTTCTAGATAGTTCGTAAGGAGGACAGCTTAATCCGTATAGCTAATTTCATGATAAGTTTAACACGGGATTAGTTATAAAATCCGAACCGACGACGCGGTGCCACCAACCCATGCACGGATAATTCCCATCACATACCCCACCGAATAATAATTTCCATTCATTCTGTTCTTTATAAATCATAATCTCCAAATCTACCGTCTCCTGTCCTTGTCTTTTTAACGCAAATCCTTTTTGTTCCGTCCCTTTCTAGTTCTTTTACCCCTAAATCTAATCCGGTACATCCCGTCTATAAGGCGCGTAGTATAAGCCCAAGTGCACACGCAGTGGGCATATCACACGTACAGAACCCAGCAGGTCAACCTACACAAATCTGTCCAACTGGTTTAATCAATCTTCATCGTTATCCTTTTGTAATAAAGTCTAAAATGTGTTGATAATGACTGGAGTAGCTTTGTGTGTACAATGTACAAAGTCTATGCGTTAATATTTTTCTTTGTGTGAGAAACCAAGATAAATTAGACACATAATAGGTACCTATGTACCTATAAAGTAAGTGTTAGAATCACACTGAAGATTTATTGTGTATAATTTTCAAATATTCCAAAATATATTTTTATCCTTGAAGTTTTAGAATAAGTAGCTATTCTACATAAATTTTCATATTAGCTAGGTATACTTATGTACTTGTTTATATAAAATGGTACTTTTTGGTCTTCACTTAACCTTGTCCTTCTTGGAAATGTATTTTTTTATTACCATAAATAGTAGCTGGACACGCGTCTGAATACACATTCAGATTTAATTAATTTTTAGATTGTTTAAAAACGGAATGAAAAACATTATTTGACCAAGTCAAAGTCAGTCAGATCGAAGAAAACCCTTAAACGGCGTTTAAAGTTATTAAAATACGTTTGTCTGTCGATCCTGTAAAGGTAGTGAAGTCATTTTCCAATTCATTGAAAAGTTTGGATTTATAAAGAGACGGTAGTGCAAGACACCCATTGTTTACTCTTTCAATCAATTTCACAACAACAATCATAATTTTCACTAATAACATTAACAAGGTGACTAATAATCAAAGTAGATACATTGAGGCGAGCTTGTCCCGCCAATCGGTCGGTGAGTTAATGCCTAATGCCTCTAATCGGGCGTTATAAATCATTATTAATTTCGAATCGCGCTCGCCGCCCGCGCCGTCGATCCGCGCCGATTAGCCATTGCACAATGGCCGACGGATTACGCTCGACGTTGAAGATATATCTTTTTGTCAAATCGTACCTGTGTACCGTCAGAACATTAGTCCAAAATGTTGCTTTATATTTAATATGGATTTATTATCGTAAATCTGTCAAAAAGTGAACCTTATATCAGTTAATTTAAAGTTTAAATCAGGGGTTTAATGATTTTTGATAACGTATTGATAAAAATTGTTATCGCTTTTTATAAAAACGTTGCATATACTAAGATTTCATTCTGAAAATTGCGACTTACTTATGATTAATTGAATTATATACTACCTACATAAAAAATAATGATAACAATTAATATTAAGTAGGAACTTGAATAAGTTACTTATCACGTTAAATTATATTTAACACTGACACACATGCACTATGAAAATAAATTAGTTATAAATAGATTATTATAGAATTTGAACTTTTCCTGCTGTCTCTACTTAACACAAATAAGCCAGTTTTATATAGATAAGCCGATTTATATATTTTTTTATTATATGTTTTTTTAATCTTTTATTTTATATGTGAGACATAACCTGTGGAGCTAAAGATGGGTTTAAGAATGGATAAAGAACGGTGTTTGAGAATTTAAATGCAAATATTAATATTAAGCTAGTTTTTATCTTTAGAATCAGCTACAAACTAATAATATTTGAAAATCATCTGATCATCAGTTATGCGTCTTTTAGATGTTATCTTTATCCAGAATTTATTTTTATACATTTTAAGATAAAATACTTTAATCGGAGATCAGATTATAGAACGAGATTTTTAATTGCGAATAATTTTGTGCTATTGACTTCAAGTTTTATTTTAATATTTAGATTAAAATAAAATTTTAAGAAAGGAATGATGTAGTTTCGTCCTGGTTCTTTTCCATACGAAACTACACTTTGGACTGAGAATATATTCTCAGTCCAAAGTGTAGATACTATAGATATGATAGAACTAGATTCGAATCTAGTTTAACTGACAGTCAAACTGATGGACAATTATTTTGTTTTGTTTCAAAAATGCCTTTGTCTGAATGTGACTTAGACTTTGACTAGTACAGTGTTTTCACTTACATTAAAACTAAGTTTTGGGAAAGCCGAGGAGAAGTAATGGGGCAAATGAGCTGATGATGATGATTTACATACACACTTTAATAGCCCAGTATTTTTAAGTAATCGAACCTACTAGGTATGGCTAGATAAGAGTCATAGGTATGGTAACTAACCACAGCCTGAACCTAGAAGTAACGAAAACCATAATTAGGTAGGTAAGTACTTTTGTTCACTGATACGCGATAACCACATAATTATAGTAGCGGTTTCACATAATGAACCAGATATAACAAAGGCAGTGTTTCATAAACAACATTACGATATTAGGTTTATAATTTACTGAAGAGTTAATATAATGTATTTATCATATATTATCATCGTCACCCCGTATTCGTCCACTGCTGGATATAGGGTTCAATAGCTGGCCACTGATCTCGGTCTTCAGCTATACGCATCTGCACGACGACATCTGCAAGGTGGCTACCTTGCAGATGTCGTCACTCCACCTGGAGGTCTGGCTGGAGGGCGCCCTACACTACGTTTGCCTAGACGCGGTCTCCACTCTAGAGAACACGTTTCATTTTCCAAGGTTACCTATTTTTTACAAATTCTTAAAATATTCAATTTATTGTTCTATTTCGTATTTCGAGCTCATCTTCATTCGTAAATCAAAATTATAAAAATAAGTAATACGGATAATAGAACAATGGTTCTAGGAACAACATATCAATGAATCCATGACTTTTGGATTTTTAAAAATTTTTAGTTGGATTTTCAAGTCATTGGTTAAATAGTGGACATCTTGTGACTGACAACGATGATTGTGATGAAATTTAACATGACTATGAATTTTAATTTTTCTCAATCAATCTCAATGAAGTTTAAAAAAAATCAGCACCACAGATTATAAAAATTCATAACTGTCATCGCGTGACGCAACGTGGTGTGAGACGTATTATTAGGGTGGCTTCACATGCGGGGTACCGGCTTTATCTCCGGGCGACACGAGCTTGATCCGTCCCGGATAATCCGGATAAACGCGATCCGGGTATGTGTGTTATCGATTTAATGTTTCACTTATACGTTGATTTGCGTATGTGCGTGCTTTTCTTATTTCTTGTGATCTTTAATTGTTGTAATTTTTTTATTTTGCTTTTGTATTGTTTTCGTAATAATTCAAATAATATCGTTAATAATTTGATTCATCGTATTCTGAAATGTAATATTACAATATCATATCATATCCATTGTACAATGCTATTACCGAAATCTAAATTTAATTATAATTAATTTAACTATCAATAATGAGTAAATAATCGATTATTTGTAAAATAAAACTACTGTCTATGAATTCCAGGTATCATATCAATACTTTTACAGTGATAAAAGGTTAATTCAATTTCACATTTTCATGACAAATAATTTTAATAACCAAAAGATACCATGAAGGTTACTCATAATAAATAACACACTAACTACGTAATTAATTAGCTTCTGTTCGCGGCTTCACCCGCCTTCGCGTGGGATAAAAAGTATAAAGGATAAAAAGCCTATACCTTATACCAGATCATAATCAATCCCTGTTCCAAATTTCATATCGTTCCCTTCAGCCGTGTTGACGAGATTGGGTACCAAACATAGACACACAAACTCACAACCAATCACATTGACAATTTTAGTCAGATGCACACATTTGACGCAAATGCGTCAGTCAATCGCCAAATATCGATAGTTAATCAAATCAAAGATTTTTTAATCATTACCAATTACGTATAAGATTAGCTAAATGTTATAATATTCTAAAAAAATATATTCTCACATGCGGATACTTACTAACGTAATCGATAGATAAGATATTAAAATATAAGATTTTATATTTGATAATATC